ATCAACATCTTCATCAACACAGACAACATCTTCATATCAAACATATTCGATCATCAACATCCCCAGATCCAGAAAAAAAAAAAAAAAAAAAAACTGCCCTTTCTCTCTTCCTCTTCTCCCACCTGATCGCCTCCTCTCTTCCTCTTTTTTTCTTTCTTCTCCTCTTCTTTTCTCTCTCTTCCTCTCTATCTGCATCTGTCTATTATTGAAAAAAGCAAAGCCTTCTGTCTGTAAATTGAAGCAAGGGAAGGAAACAGAATTTAAAAAAAAAAAAAAAAATTCGAGCCAGTTTTCGAGCCAAGCATTCGAGCTACGGATCTTTATCCTTTATCTTTTTATTTTTTTAATCCTAATTAAGATAGCTAAACAACGATTTTGTTTATATATTTATATTAGTAAAAATAATTACAGTTCAAAAAATTTCCAATGTAATAAAGTTGCACACAAAATATGATGGTTTATGGGCATAACAGAATTGTCTAATATCTAGTATATTACATAGATGTTTAATAGTAATATTTAGATTTTTAAAAAAATGTATTTTTTATTGTCAAAAGGACATATCATTTGTGTTATAAGTTGGATCAAGTGGATAACTTTTTGTATTTTACAAATATTTTTGAGTTGATTTGATAAAATAAAAACAAATAGAGAGAGACAGAGACAGAGAGAGAAGTTTGAGTTGTTAATGATAAATTACTTAAAAGATTGAGTCTATAGAAACATTAAGGGACGGTGTAAAGATTTGATGTGAAGTTTAAGTTTGAGTTATTCTAATAAGCCATCTGGTCTTTAATTTTAAGATCTCAAAATTAGTTAAGATACATACAAATTAATTCACATACTCAATTATTGACTCTATAGAACACTTGGTATGTTTGTATAATAGCTTGGTTTATTAAACACTTTCAAGGACCCTTTAATAGTAAAGATATTTAATTATTTTACTTTTGAGATTAATTGATGTACACGCAAACTGACTCAACCATCTGATTATTGATTTTATAAATCACTTGGCATGTCTACAGAACAACTAAGTTTATTTTAGGGACATTTACATACAAGTCCCATTTTGTGAACTTATACTCCATTAGGTCCTAGATAAAATTATTTGTTCCTTCAAGTCCCATTAATTTTTAATAGACCAATTTACCCATGCAAACCCCCTCATCTTCTTCGTCTTCACTCGAACTTGCCTAATGCAGGTGACTTTGGGAGAAGAAGGCTCTGGGTTTTCGACAGCGCAGCCTTGTTTCTTGGTTCCGGTGGGGAACATGGGAGATTGGCCGCCTTTGAGGCTGCCGTTTGTTTTGAGTCGGCGGCTGAGAGAGCTGGGGAGAGAGACGGGTGCGCCACGAGCGCGGTCGGGGCTGAGGATTGACTTAGAAGAGATCTTCATGGACGGGGAAGAAGAAGAGGAGAGGCGAGAGGTGAAGCAGATGAAGAGTTCGCTGGTACTGCTTGTGCTGGCAGTGCGATGGGGTCTCTCTCATGAGTCCATTATTGCTCTGTTTCGGCCATTAACAACCATAAAAATGGCTGATGATTGATTTTATTGCACGCACAAAGAGAGAGAGAGAGCTTCAATTAGAAGCTCCAGATTTAGTTTTTCAATCAGAGAGAGAAAGTGAATAGCTGAGACGAGAGAACCAATTAGGAGATTGAGAGAAAGAGAGAGAGAGAGAGAGAGAGAGAGAGAGAGAGAGAGAGAGTTTTTTAAAATTGAGAACCTTCTCCGTTTATAATATTCTCAATTTTAATCATGAAAAAATTGAGAAATTTCTCAAAATTGATAATTATAAATTTCTTAGAATATTCGCAGAATTATCTTTCTTTTCAATCCCATACTTTTCTCAGAAGCCAAACATAAATTTTTTAATTTTGATAATTATATATTGAAATCATTCTCTGTTTGAAAATTGAGAATATTCTCAGTTTTGAAATTGAGAACATTCTCAGTTTTGGGATTAAAGAGCAAAACGTCTTTTTACTTATAAATGAGACTTATTGGTTCAAAAACTTTTTGACACGACCTAAACTACCACCAAATATGTAAACAGGACTTTTTGCTAATTAACTCTTTATTTTATTTATTTATTTGAAGAAATTGAGATCATTCATTCTAATAATAAAAGCAACATACAATTCCATACACATACAAAACGTAGTTCAGACTTGAACTACGTCCAACTTCATGGGCAGCCTAAACATCCTTTCTATTTACCTTAGTAATACATACATGATCCAAACTACTACAAAGATAACTAATATCATTCCAAATAGAATATAATTTCCATTCTACCGCCTTCTTTGTTTTGATTCTCCATAGCAACACTTGAAAATCTGTGAGAATATTAACTGATAAAAATTATGTGCTGTGAACACCATTTGAGCACCTCCAAATAACTAAATTCATTGATCACCTTAAAGTGAGAAGGGCATCTAATTGGCTTATCCTCTATTTTTCTAACAAGATAAGTATATATTTTACTATTATGTGGCCACATAGCTCAGTGGCTCCTTTTTTGGGGTTGGTGGAACAAATTATAAAGAAAAGGACATACAAGTCATTTCCTCCCCCCAATAAAAGCTATCATTTTAAAGCTTTCATATGAAAGTATCAATCACTTTTGAGGTCATTACATATGGAAATAGATTTACAAAGGGTTATGTTTAGAGAGAAAAAAAAAAGGGCATGAAAGCATGGGCGATCCTGATAAGGGCGAGCTTGATGGATCGGCGGCAACGGATCATTCCATAGCAACCAGCACATCCACAGCACAACTAGATGGGCACGACGAAGAACGATCTACAGAAGAGCAAGACTTACTAGAAAGAAACCAACTAAAAACCTTCAAGAATCAAGGTACACCAACTAAACCTCCCATTTCTTTCAAGGAGGCACTCGCATCCCTGCTTTTGTTGGAGGAGTTTCCTGCTGTCTTGTCCGTGGACGCTTCCTCCCCGACGGACCTGGTAGATGAAGATGGAGTACCTGCCATCTCTGTTTCTCCTGAGGAGGTACGACGGATTCAATCTCCATGGGTCAACTCTTTGATTATCTGTCTCATGGGTAAAAATCTGGGCTATAAGTTGCTCATGGAGAAAATCAAAGCACTCTGGAAACCCACTGGGACGTTGCATGGGCTAGATCTTGGTAACCATTTCTACCTCATCAAGTTCCAACTGGATATCGACATCAGCAAAATTCTCAACGGTGGTCCGTGGTTCATTGGCCCCCATTATCTAGCCGTTCGACGGTGGGAACCTGAGTTTCAAGCCACCACAGCATCTAATACCACCACTGTGGTCTGGGCACGCCTCATTGGTCTCCCCATTGAATTTTTTGATGGTTCCATCCTTTGTAAGATTGGTGCAAGGCTAGGTAAGCTACTAAATATTGATATTTTCACTGAGAATGGGGCTAGAGGCCGTTTTGCTAGACTATGCATCCAAATATATCTCTCCAAACCCCTGATCTCTAAAGTCAAAGTAGGAAACATCACCCAACGAGTTGTCTATGAAGGACTGCCAGCCATCTGTTTCAACTGTGGCATAATTGGTCATAGTCTGGATGACTGCAAGGTTTCCAGTAAGGCTTCTTCCACAGCTGAGAAACCCACACCTCCCTCTCCTCCTCTTTCTGAGTTTGGGCCCTGGATGCTTGTTGATCGGAAAAAAACCTCAAAGTCAGTTAAATCCGGTGCCGGTAGAGCTGCCATGGCTGGTACGTCATTGCATCTAAACCCTAAAGTTTGGAGGAAAAAGATGCCTGATTCAAATTTGGCGCCCAAACCCCTTCTGCAGGTCCACGTCACCTCTGACCGTCTTGCTGCAGCTGCTCCTCCAGCTGCAATCCAGACGGCTTCAGACGGCTCCAAGTCAAACCTTTCTATTTCTAATTCTTTTCAGCTTTTAGCTGACCCTACTACATCCATTCTTGGCCCATCTCCCCAACCCTTGACCAGCTCTTCTTCTAATGGGCAGAAAAATTTTCAGAGCCTTGTCCCATCACCCATCACCCATCCCCCCGTCAACCTCAACCCTTTCCTCGTCCAAATCAATATCACCTTTGTCTCTAAAACCTATCCACCGTACCCCCCCTAAACTACCCCTTTTACTTAACCCCTCTGAACCTCCAGTCTACCCCGTCGTTAACGTCTCTTCCACTACGCCTTTTCAGCATTTTTCAGACTGTAATTTTTCTGCCTCTCAGCCTTTTAACAGTCACTCGTCCCTCTCAAAACCCTCTTCATAACCTTTTTTTTATCCCGCAACCAAATCATCTCTCACCACCACCTTTAAAGTCTAGCCCCTCCAACGTTAAAAACAAGTCCTCCGAACCTCTCACGTCTCTCTTATCCCCCCCTCCTCTCCCTCTGACCATGACTCGTCGTCACCCAAACCGCAGATCGACTCTCCTCAGGAACCCCACCCTCACCAGCACACCTACCATCCCACCCAACCCACCCTACCCCGACCTTCTCATCCCTTTCAGACTGGAGAACCAAGAGGCACAACCCATTCCAGGCTGGTACATGAGGGTGAACAACCACTACTCTGGTGTGGATGACCGTCTGATCAAGGAGATTCGTCGAGATCCCTCCTTCATCCTGGGTTGGTTCGACCCAGACATTTTCAACATCTGGATGAGCCTTTCACAATCCCTCCCCTTCCCACCCCATCTCTATAACCAGCAAACTGTTATTGTCACCTTTCTCTCAACTCCATACACTCATCTCTCCGACCAACCCCCCCAGACCATCCAACTAAACCAGATCATCACCCCCTCACTGAACCTCCTCCCAAATCTCTAACCCGTTTACACCCACATCATCTCGGAAACTCTACTACCCATTCCACCTCTCCCCCTTCTGGACTCTCATTGCCTTGTAAATCACCCCCGAGACTTTATTCTAAAGGGCCAACTTTACATGGCAGAAAAGCCGGTAGCGGAACCAAACTTGAGCAGACTACGCGTTATCGTGCGATCTTGCACAATGCAAGAGTACTGGGGTTTGGATCACCACGTCAGAGTGATACCATTCTTGAAGGAGACACTACAAACTACGCTGGGTCCGGAATGGATCGACGAAAACAACAAGCCTCTAACTCAGACGGAAGTAGACCTTCCTCATCTCCCACTCTTTAACACTCCCATGAAAGTTCTGCTGTGGAATTGTCGAAGGACTACAAATCCACATTTTCGAAGGCATTTCAATAACCTCATGGTAGATCATCGTCCTCAACTAGTAGTGCTCACTGAAACTAGAGTTGGTGGCAGTAGAGGTGCTGCTCTATGTCTAAACTTGGGCTTCTCCAAGTATCACATTGTGGAAACACATAGTTTTGCTGGAGGAATCTGGTTGCTTTGGAATGATCTGGAAATCCACTGTGACATCATAGCTCAGACTCAACATGAGGTCCATGCTTGGATTCAGGTCTCTTCTATACCTTCTCCGTGGCTTTTTTCAGCTATCTATGCTAGTCCTACATTCAATTCTAGGAGACTATTATGGGAAAACCTTACCTTCTTGGCTGATTCCCATAATACTCGCTGGCTCATAATGGGTGATTTCAATGAATTACTAACCAGTGTAGACAAATTTGGAGGTAGACCTATCAACCTCTCTAGAGCCCTCAAATTCAAAGAATGCATGGACCACTGTGGCATGTTAGACCTGGGCTTCTCTGGCCCAAAGTTCACTTGGACAAACCTCAGAAATACTGGAGCACTCATTCGGGAAAGACTGGACAGAGCTTGGAATAACCATGATTGGCAACTTCTTTTCCCCGAAACTAAAATCCTCCACTTACCCTGCATTCACTCAGACCATTGCCCTATCCTCCTTAACACCCACCCCCTACCTAGCAACAATGTCAACCGTCCCTTCCGTTTCGAAACCATTTGGTTCTCGGATCCCTCCCTCTTTTCAGTTGTTCGTGACAGCTGGGCCCAATACCCCTCATCCTTCCTCCGTAGTGTGGCCACTTTCACCTCTAAAGTCTCCATCTGGAATAAAACTTGCTTCGGTAACATCTTCCTTAAAAAAAGAAGACTAGAAAGACGACTGCTTGGAGTCCAGAAAGCCCTCGACCACCAGTCCTACCCCTTCCTTCTTGAGCTTGAAATAGCCCTCACCAGTGAACTGAACCATACCCCCAAGCTTGAGGAAGAGTTTTGGGGTCTAAAATCCAGAGTTAATACAATCCTCGAAGGCGATCGAAACTCGAAATTTTTTCACATCACCACCATTAATCGTCGTCGGAACAACTCCATTTCAGCTCTGAAAGATACCTCTGGCATTTGGACGTATGAGGCCCCTGTGATTAAAAACATCCTAGTCTAATATTTCTCCAACCTTTTCACTACCTCCCGCTGTGCCACCACTCTCTCTTTGTCTAACCCTGTGTTTTCCTTCCCCACCATAGACTCTTCCTCACACCCCTCTCTCACTGCCAGCCCTTCAGCCAAAGAAATTAAAAAGGTATTATGGTCCTTTGGCCCATGGAAATCCCCCGGCCCGGATGGTCTGTATCCCATCTTTTTCCAAAAATGCTGGGACATCATAGGTGAATCGGTTTCTTCCTTGGTTATAGAAGCTTTCTCCACAACCCATATCCACCCCACCCTCAATCACACCTTCCTTTGCCTTATTCCCAAAACAGCCAACCCTGAATCCGTTTCACAGTTCCGTCCCATCAGCCTTTGCAACACCATTTTTAAGCTCATAACCAAGATTTTAGTGGCCCGCATCAGACCCTTCCTAAATGATCTAATCAGCCCTTTCCAAACTAGTTTCATCCCTGGCCGAAAGGGCAGTGACAATGTCATCATAGTCCAAAAGGTCGTTCACAGTTTCAAGTCAAAAAAAGGTAAAGTTGGTCACATGCTCGTTAAAATTGATCTTGAAAAGGCTTATGACAGGCTTGAATGGGATTTCATCCGACAAGTCCTCCATTTTTTCAACTTCCCCCAACTCTGGATTGATCTCATCGTTTCTTGCATCTCTCTTCTTCATTTGCAATCCTGTTTAATGGTGGTACAACTGAAACCTTTCAACCCTCCCGAGGTATTCGTCAAGGTGATCCCCTTTCACCCTACATTTTTATCCTATGCTTGGAATACCTTTCACTCTCTATCACCCACGCTTGCAACCTCCAAATGTGGAAACCCATACAAGTGTCCCGAGGTGGCCCATCCCTATCACACCTTTTCTTCGCCGATGACCTTATCCTCTTTGGCGCAGCAAACACCTGAACCTGTCAAACCATAGCCAACACCCTTCAAAATTTCTGCGAGATGTCGGGACTCCATATTAACTCCACCAAATCCAAAGTCTTTTTCTCAAACAATGTGGATGACCAAACCCGCTCCATGCTTGCTAACCAACTCCAAATCCCCCATACCTTGCACCTTGGCAAATACTTGGGTTGGCCCATCCATCATGATAAACCAAATGCCAATTCCTTCAATTTTATCATTGAGAAGATCCAGAACAAACTCACTGGTTGGCGAGCCAAACTTTTTTCTCCGGTAGGCAGAACTACCCTCATAAAATCTGTTAATGCTGCCATTCCCTCCTATATCATGCAAACCAACTTCCTTCCGAAGAAAACCATCCAAACCATTGACAAGCTTAACAGAGACATCCTGTGGGGATCGACGCCGAAAAAAACGAAACTCCACGTTGTGAATTGGGAGAATGTCTCCAAACCCAACCATCTTGGTGGTCTAGGAATCAGACAAACCCTCTTAGTCAATCAAGTGTGCATGGCCAATTTAAATTGGCGTCTAGCAAATGATAACCAGTCACTGTGGATTAGAGTTCTCAAAGCCAAATATCCAAATAATCCCAATCCTAGAAGGCGCGCCTCTCCCATTTGGAGAAATATCCTTAAAGGTAAAAACCTCTTTGACAAAGGAACCAAAATCCTCATTACAAGTGGGTCTACTACTAGCTTCTGGTTCGACAATTGGACCAACCTTGGCCCTCTGCGTCACCTAGTGGAAGGCCCCCTTACTTGCGAGGAAATTACTCTCACAGTCCGCGATTGCTGGATTTCAACTCATTGGAATTTTAATAAACTGTCCATACCAATCCCACTAAACATGCTTTCCCAAATTCAAACTATCACGCCGTGTTGGTTTGGACTTGCACCTGACACGACCTCTTGGACTCACTCCCCCGATGGCCTTTTCCCCAACAGTTCTACGTACTTACTTTCCAAAAACTTCTCCACCACCCCTCCCTTATCCAGTTGGCATTGGGTTTGGAAACTCCCTACCAGACCGAGAGTGACCCATTTCATTTGGCTAGCCCTCCAACAACGTCTTCCCACCAAAGACCTCCTACATTCTAGAAACATCACCTCGATTAGTTCTTGCCAACTTTGTGGGTCATCTCCAGAAACAACCCTCCATGACTTGAGAGACTGTACTTCTGCGATAAGTTTTTGGGACTCACTCATTATCTCCACTAAGGTCTCACCTTCTTTCAACCTTAGCTCAACGGAATGGCTCAAAACCAACTGCCTCTCCACTGAGCCTCACTCATCTTCAATTCCTTGGGCCATTGTCTTTCCCCTTGTTTGTTGGACCATTTGGAAAAATTGAAACTCTGCCTGCTTCGAGCCGACTCCCCCAAACCCACTCAAACCTACCTGGACCATTGCTCTAGCCACTGAGTGGTATCACCTTTCCTACACCACCAAACCCCGTGCCACTAAAATCATTGCTTGTAGTTGGAAACCACCCCCCTTTCCTGGCTTCAAACTTAACACCGATGGCCCGGTAAATGAACATCATGCAGCCGCAGGCGGTATCATCCGTGACAACCATGGCAATTGGGTCTCGGGCTTCTGTAGATTTTTGGGCAAAACCAACAGTCTAACTGCTAAATTTTGGGCCCTTAGGGATGGTCTCAATTTGGCTCTTGAAATGGGACTTACTCCAATTGAAGTTGAATCTGATGCTCTCACTCTTGTGTTCATGGTATTAACTAATTGCAATGACCAACACCACCTTAGCAATATTGTTCATGACTGCAGGTTCCTCCTGGACAACCTCGGATCACCAACTGTTAAACACATTTTCAGGGAAACAAATCAAAGTGCGGATGCGCTAGCCAATTATGGGCTACTTATGATGGATGGGAATTTTCATGTTTTCTCCTACCCTCCATCTTCTTTTATTTCTTAGATGGTTACGTATGATGCTATGGGGATTCTATATCCCAGAACTATCTTGTACTAGCTATTTATTCTATATCAAGCTTATATTTACCAAAAAAAAAGATTTATAAAGCTTTCAAATGAATTCCATCATTTTTTAATTAATTAAAATGAATCTAACATATATTGAGTAAATATATAAAACATGAAATAAATATATAATATATATATCTGTGCGGAGAGCAAATATTCAGGCAAGCCCGCACTCCTTTCTTTCAAGCTCCTGCCTGTCCGATCGACCTGCGAGCACAACGGTGGTGAGCTACCCGGCGCGGTGTGTGGCCGAAAAACCCCTCCGACGATCAAGTTAGACACACACACAGGAATAGAGAGAGAGAGGACTAAGTTGTGTTTTTCTCACCTAATTGTGTCATCTGTCTAGGCATGGGGGGCGCAAACCCGCTTGTATACCTTCTGCGCACCAAATCTACTCTCATTCGTCTCTCGACAAGTGGTGCTGCTATCCCATCCGTCAGCACAAATCTTGCTGTACATTACCTAACCCAACCGCCAACCCACTCTGCTGGGAGCTCGGCAACCGGGGTACAGCATCACGGTCGCCAACATCCAGGCTGCACTTCATGCCCAAGTGTAGCAATAGCCGAGCTCCGTCCCTATCGTGCTTGACTGCATTCCGGCGAAGTCGAGCTCCGGAAAGGTCATGTCGATCAACCAAAGGCTTTCCTGCCGAGCTTCTGGCACGAGCTTCCCTGCCGAGCCAAAGGCGTATGCCTTCTGGTCGAGTAACGCAAGTTGCACGGTCACCACCGGTGCGAGTAGTTCGGCCACGGGCCGAGCGGCCCCAACTTCGGGAAAGTCCTAAATTATCTCGGCCCAACACGCCCTTGGGCCTTCAAATTGCTCGGCTTTTATCTCGGCCCACTTTCGGCTCATAAATCTCCCTCTCAACTGCCCCTTAATTCCGTCTACGCAAGCGTGACTGGGATTATTTATCCTGACTGGGTAACGCTTCCTCGGTCTTTCGATTTTGCAAGAAGTCAACCGAGCTAGTTTTCTTGCTTGGCTCCGTGATTCACTCGGTCGACGCCTCGTCAGGCCTTCCTGTCTTTTCAACTCTGACGCTGCCATTAACGGGGGCACGTGTCAATCTCTTATTGGCCCTCGAGCAGCCAACCTAACCGTCTCCTCAAATTTGAATTTGGGCGGCTTCTTCCCCTCTATAAACATGCCCCTTCTCGCTTCCTTTTATTCCTACGGCCTCTCTTCAAGTCTTCGACGTTTCAGAGCTTAAGCACCCCCAACAAAACTTCGTCCCTGCCATTCCTTGCATTTGTGCTCGAAGAAGTTGGCCCTGCCCTCAACTGGTAAGTTCCTTGAACCTCGTTTTTTGCTATTTCAGTCGGCATTTCACATATTAGGGCACTAAAAACATAGGTTTTAGGGCATTAGGCACCCAAAACTGTCCCTAACCCTTCACTCTCCTTGTTGTTCTTCATTTTTCCTGATGAACATTGAAGATTTGGAGCGGACCGGGCTCCAGGTCTTCATTCGATCCAAAAAATCATTAAGACCGAGTAAATGACCAGTTTGCCAAAACCTTTAGCAGAAATCGAGGTAAGCAGGGAGCTTGGCCGCTCGACCGGGCTAACATTTGGTCCACTTGTACGGCCGAGCTCCTTGGTACACCTTCAAGACCGAGGTGGTCGGCACTCTTCATGACCGAGCTAAAGTCAAGCTCGTTTTGCGCGACGGTGCTCACACTTACCATTGCCATCATTTTCCTGCAGAGTCCAAGGGGACCACTTGATCAAATATTGAGGCTCTCAAAGACCGAGCAGCCATCAAGACACCAGTCTGTGCCATTCCAGCTTAGCCGAGCTAAACCAGCCGGCTACAAATGGGGTGCTTCCGCTTCCTAGTTGACACCCCGGCTGCCTTGGCCGTATTCCGGGAAGATTACGGTATCCCGGCAGATGTTCACCTAAAGCTCGCCGAGATCGAGACAACCCCTTGGGGCAGATTAGACCAGTGCCCCTTTATCGTTCTTTCTATTGTTGAAGGAGGCTTCTACTTCCCAGTCAACCCTCTACTGACCGAGTTTCTGCGCCGCACCTGGCTTGCATCCACACAAGTATCAACCAACACCTACCGAATA